GGAATTATTACACTCAGAAACTTCGGATTGGGTCTGAAAAGAGGTCCTAATAGCAATTTGAACAGAAACCACCATGTACCAAATACTGGAGATGTTTGAAAAGACAACATGCTCCAGAGACCTCCAATTCCATCAGGTGTTTCTTTTTCTTACCTGTGTAACATCCCAGTCAGGTGGTTTCTGCCAGAAGTGTTTCGACAGACTTTTGGATGAAAGGCCATGATGCTAATCGGAGATCAGTTGGAGCACGACGGTTGTAGACGTTCTGAATATTCTCGAGCGCCTCTTACCTTCACCCCCATCAAGTCCTCTTGTTGATCTGAAATTCGATGGGACTAACAAGGGTATCATTCGATTATTTTTTTTCGCGAACCTGATCGCTTTTTCTTGCGTTTCGGCTAAAATTCACCGGCTTATTGTACAAGGAGCTCAAAAGTGTTGCTATCTTCTGTTTACTGAGACATATTCACGCAGGCATCCTAATTACAAAACGCTGAAACAACCTCCTTGAAACCCACATTTAGGTGGACTAGAAACTGTGTGGTAGTTAAATCCTAAGAAGAATTTTTCTGACGCAAGTTTAACAAAGTCCATCGGGTCATTGGATTCATCTTTGAGTTGTAATCTAAAAGTTTTGTCTAATTGTCTGCTATTGGAATGAACTACGGTTCCCTGGTTAGTTTGTGAAAACCGCGTGTTTGGAACATTTCAGCCACGATATTTTGACACAGCCTTGGGAACAGAAGGACGAAGCTATTCTCAGGAGAGACTAGAACGGCATCTATCAACGACTGAGAGTACGCCTAACAACGGGCTTTCTTGCTAACTTCAACCGAAAACGTGAACAGAGAAGAATCAAGGACCCAAGTCGCGCAGCCGTTCAACAATATTGCAATAACCCATCCGCTAATTGTCAACATGAGCAGCAGTGTCTTATTCGATACTGCGCACCTAATTTGTCAGTGACCACCTTCTCTTCAAACTGAGTCTGCTCATGCTATTAATGTTAGTGGACTTGAAGATACAGGAACAAATGCAAATTATCTCGGCCATAAGGGAAAAACTCAACTAAATATCAGCTAAACTTGTCACTTGTGATACCCTTCAAATGAATATGCCGTACAAAGTCAGTCTCATTTTTCATCTGGAGCGATGTTTGCTAGATCGAATTAATTGATAATCACTTTGCGACAGTCTGTTACGGGGTTAGACCGTCTTGGAGCTCATCAGTTAGGAAACGTCCCTGAGCTTCTATCTAGAATATTTCATAAATGGACACTTATCTGTTCGTAAACATAGATGTATACCTATTCACAAGCTGGCTCGGATTTGACGGGAGGCTCAAGGTCGCTTCATGTTTCAGTTGGCGATACAGCTTCAGGAAACAGTTTCTGTCCCCAAGCTCTTTATGTGAGTACTCAATTTGCCTTGCTAGAACTGTTGCCCCCGCCCTCATCACCTTTAGTGCTGGGCAATGCAGCCCGGGTTACCAATAATTATCCAACCAGTTCATCCTACTGATTAATTAAAACAAGCTGTGGGAATTCGAACAACCAGTACCATCTACTCTGTACCGGCACCTAATAAACCGTTTTGAAAATTGTCTTAAATGTGATTGGTTCATCTTGTAAAAGCAAAATGTTCAATCAGGCGAAAAATACTTGGAACCGATTGAGTAGTCATGGTTTTCGAAAAATTTGGGTGACATTCGGTAGATTTATTACTGGGCAAAGTTTCGCTTTTGACACAAAAGCTTTGTCAGGCTAAGTGACTAGGTTCCGACGTTGGTCGAAACTTAAGGCGAAAGGAGAACCAATCAGCTAAATCAAGCTAAATCTCTGTCGGGTGTCGGCCGAGGGATGGGTGAACAAGCTTTGGGTCGATGGGGAAACCTACATGTGTTTGGGTCCAGCCTAGGGTATAGTTCTTCTGGTTCGGTCCATTTGATGGTCCCTCTCGAACGTCGTTTGAACTTTCTGTCCGTCTGTGTGGATGAGCTAGTGCTAGGTAGTTGTGTAAGAGGGATGCCGTGACCTTTGGTCTTGTTGAGATTTCCACCCCCCCTCCTCCCCGGTTTTTTCTAATGATCTAAGTGGATTGACAACCACAACGTCACGTGTCAACTCGGCTTATCTGAGACCGCTTTCCATACGCTCACCAGTTTCACACCCTTCATTCTATTCACGCTGTGATGCCTGGTAATTCCCACCGCCTCGGCTATCAGCCGCTGTGGTGTGAATCGCAGTCCGCGTTTGGCATTCTTCTGCATTCCATGGTGGTTTGTTAATCCTTCTTTTATGCCCACCAATTCTGGTGTGCAATTCCCTGGCAGTTTGTCCTATATAAACCTTAGCGCAATCGTTGCAGTTAATTTTAAACACGCAGTCCCTAGTCCTTCCAACCGGCAAGGGATCCTTCAGTTGCACCAAAACTGAGCGTAGCGTTTTTCGCTTCCGGAAAGCTGCTCGAATTTTGGCTAGGTCAACAGTCATCGAATAACATCCGATGTTCCTACTTTATGTGGAATGACTGCTGTGCCAATCCATTCCTTACTGGATCTGTTGACACCTAATCAAACTCACTGGGTGTCCTATTTCTTGAAATCTGTTGGCGATCTCAGTTTGAGCTGCCCTTCGGTCGATCTCTTCTGTATACAGCGCTCTGATGCGACGAAACATCAATGAGACAATGCTGACGTACACAAACATTGGGTGTGCTGATGAATAGCTTAAGACGGTTTCTGTGTCTGTTGGTGTCTGGTAGATAGTAGTTTTTAATTTCCCACCAGCCTTATGTGTTATACAATCCAGAAAGGATAATGTGCCCGAGTTGGACTCTATTTCCACGCTAAACTTGATGTGCGGATTTGAACTATTGAGATAGTCGTGGAAGCTGTTCACGTTATCTCGTTTGATTAGAACAAAGATGTCGTCGAGATGGTGCCAAAAAACTTTCGGTGGACAATGATATCGGGCGAAGGCTGCACTGGAGATTGGGAACTGGACATAGTTCCCGTCGTACACGTTATTTGACTAGGGGTGCGCTATCATTCGCTTTCGCTAAACAACTTGTGTTTTGAAAGCAATGATCTTCGAACATATAAAAGAATGTCCGTCTTGTGTCTGGATCGGTTCTTTCATCCTAGGTTAATGGACGATTTCTCGACATGTCACCTAGCTGAGCTCCCAATTCGGGGTCACATGCCAACAGGAGGGATGACCCACAATGAGTGAAACAAAATTTATCCGTTTGAATATCCAATGTTAAACCGAATCTGATGCTCTTACAAGCAATGAAACAAGCTAAACTTGGCTGCTGAATATATTAAAGAGATTGGTCGCTTGAGTTGGTCGACAGTATTCAAATGGTTTACTAGCAAACGCATCACCTCATGCGCTGCCTTTCTAAGGCTCAATGGAACACTTTCTCAATGGAAAACGCGCTCGGTTACACCTGAAGATGGGCCGTACATCCTTTTGGGTTTCAAACACAGAGCTAATGGTGCACGTTTTGGAATATTTCATTTTAGGTCTCTCGCAATCTTGCCAAGCCAACCAGCTTGTTTTTAAGTCTCACCGGAGTACACCCAGTATACCCCTCAATCGATTATTCTGTATTAGGATACAGTGCGATTTCTTATCGAGTACTCGACTGCATTTTGAACACTTAACGTCATACCGCTTGGTGTAAGGCAAAAGCGATGTTAGGTGTGAAAGTCCTATGACTCAGTCCCGTGTGCGAATGTCAACTACCGCTGAGATTGGCGAATGAGGAGTGAATGCATTAGAAGATATATGTCTGCCACAGAGGGTAAGTCGTTTTAAGTAAAACAAGCCCTCAGAAAAGACTACCTGGCGGTATAAACCTTCTCGGAAGTAACATCCAAGTAGATAGGATCTCGACTGAATAGTGCAGCTGGCCGAAGCAACTAGATATCCGGACTCAGCCATTACTAGCACTAGGAGCAAGTAGTTTGCATACGTGGCTAGGCAGCTCTTGGGTGTTCCTGAATGTCTATCTAGCAATTAACCTCAATCGGAAGTGTCCAGCCAGGCAGCACGGTGCGATACGGCTCAACAACTAGGGTTGGAATGATCGACTGAAGCATATGATGAATATTTTCTGTTCATCTAGACCCGTAATTTAGGAGTACAAGAAAGTTTTCAGTGAAGGTGCGGGGTAACTTAAATGACGATGTGCCTGTTTAAGCCTCAGTGAACCTTTTCATTTATACACTACGTAGTTTGCTCAATCAGATGGTGTATGCCCCAATTCCATAGGGATAATATATCTATCTTCGGGTGCATACTATTGGTGAAAGGCTCATATGCAGTTTCCAGCGTGCAGTTCAATGCTACAGTGTAATTTTTTGCCACGACCCCCCTGGATGGCACGGCTAACTGACCATTGTGAAGCTGACAACCAGTCCACTGTAACGTGTTTGCTACTAACCAATGCCTCATTGTATTAGTGTGCCCGCGGATCCCAGAATCCCTCGTTCAACCGATGTACGCGACCGATTTAAGGGACAGGTAAAGGGTTCACATGGTTTGTCAGACTTGTAAACGAAGTTTGTGAGCGATAAGAATCGGATAACGGTGCGCCTACACATTTGTGCATTTGTGAGCGTGTGGAAGATGTCTATCAATTCTAACTAGACAAAGGTGAGCACCAAATAAACTTTGCACCTGTCTTGACTAACCTACATAACTACTGATTTCTGGTTCCGTCTGCAGTTCAAATAGAGTTATATAATCGGTAAACAAAAAGCCCATTTCCAGGTTCACTTGAATGACATATAAACAGCCGCTGACTGAAATTAGGCTCTTTTTCACAATGCATAGTGTATTATATGTCATGCTAATATTTTTTGTATGTGCTGAGGCTTACCGGAATAGTTCACAGGTAAAATGTCGGACGGGCGACATTGAGCACTGATTCGTAATTCATTTGTCTTGTGCTTCCCTTATTCACAAATTGCCGTTTTTTGTGTCACACAGCTGGACGAATTTGAGAATGAATATGAGCTGTACGAGAACTTCAAGGCCGAATACAAAAAAAACTATGAGGGCCGAGGTACTTTCTGAGACTAAAATTTTTATTGGATTTCCATAGAAGACGGAAAACGGTTCAAAATTTTCAAAGACAATCTATTGAAAGCAAAAATGTATCAACGGCTGGAAAGGGGGACCGCCACTTACGGAGTGACCCAGTTTTTTGATCTCACAGGTTATTGATGTGCCATCATTTACATTCATACATTGAATATTTCAGAGGAAGAATTTCGAAGACTCTATTTGACTTACAAGTCACCCAATGGACATAAGCCGATCAGTCGAATCCACGTTCAAAAGGTTGGACAACTGCCTAGTTATTTCGATTGGCGGGAATATGGTGCGGTTGGACCTGTAATGAACCAAGGACAATGTGGATCCTGTTGGGCGTTTTCCGCGGTTCAAAACATCGAAGGGCAGTGGTTTATGAAGATTCATAGGCTTCTGTCTCTAAGCGTTCAGGCAAGGCCAATTGTAGAAATTTCAGTTTTGATGTATCGTGACCACTTTTTTATATTATCCTCCTCAGTTATAAACATTTGGAAAACAGGAATTTAGGTAGCCATTTCCAATGTGACGACATTACGGGTTGACCAGCGCGCCTCGTATGAGCCGAACGCATATATCTCCTGTAGCTTGCTTTCATCGGAAGAAAGTGTAGCTGATCCTTCTTGAGAGATGCATGAAAATCCTATCTCTAAGCTCCTCAAAACATCAACTGCCTTACATATTCATTCGTGGATTTCTATAACTAGTTAGTATCAACAAATCTTGCAGCTTTTAGCTGGTACTTTGCTATGCATCCTTTTACAGGAAGTAGTCGATTGTGACCACGCCGATCACGGCTGCTCTGGCGGCTTCCCAATACATGCCTTTGAGTGTGTACAACGCTTGGGAGGCTTGGAGCTCGCTGTGCAGTACCCGTATGTTGGGTACAGGCAATACTGTCAGGCGGATCCCCGATATTTCATTGCCTACATTAATGGGTCTGTGGTCCTGCCCAAGGATTCGGAGCAGATTGCAAATTTTCTGGCTAGATTTGGACCCCTGAGTGTCGTATTGGACGCTCGTCTTCTTCAAGTAAGTTTGGTCAATAGTTTGGTCAGATTTTTAACCCGACGCTATCTCCAGTTAGTGTTTACCATTTCCCTCTTCATCTCAATTTCAGTACTATCAATCGGGTATCCTTAATCCATCAGCAGAATATTGCGATCCAGAGGAACTGAATCATGCTGTCTTGTCCGTGGGATTTGGTACAGATCAAGGGATTCCATACTGGATTATCAAGAACAGTTGGGGTGAACAGTGGGGTGAGCAGGTGAGCATAAACTTCTTTGTGTGCTTTTATCCCTTTTCAGGAATTTTTGCCTATTCAGCTCATAAACCAATACTCTGGGCTTAGTTGGCTAACACGCGTTGGAACAGTGCATAGCCTGTTAAAATTGCCTATTCACTCATAAACCAATACTCTGGGCTTAGTTGGCTAACACGCGTTGGAACAGTGCATAGCCTGTTAAAATCATAATCTGTATACAGTTTCAGGAAGTTGGATGTAAACTTTAGAAATCATGCTAGTTCAACTTCAGTATTTATTCGTTTTTAGTATATTGTCAATACAACTGGCTGATTTGTGCAATCAGTCATTCAGCTTACTTGTCAGTGCGGACAATTGCAGCTATATATGAGTTGTTCATTAAAAATCTTGCCTCCAGATTCATAGAACTCATACTATCCCGGGGGGCTTTTTACGGTACAACAACGTGGCCACAAGTTCAGCCAATCATCACTATCACCATCATTGACGGGAATTCACCGAAAATACGTACCGGTGCTTAACTGCCGTACTACCCTGAAGAAAGGTTTTAGTAAAAAGTGTAAAGAGGAGGAAAGATGGGGATTACGTTCGAAGAAACCTTATATCCTTAAGAAAAACAATCAGGAATCGGGTGCTCACACCTATAGACAGCAGTAGGATAAACACACTTGACCTTTTTGTCAAAGTAAGGCAAGATCAGCGGGATCGATCCGGCCTCATTAGGAAACCCCGCGCGATCTGAGCTCATCCTACACACGACAGACGAAGTTTAGTTGGACATTTCGGCCAGCCAATGATAGCATGCGTGCTAGCAAGGTCGGCTGCTTTCCATGTCTTGCAGAGTTTACGACCATCTGCAAGCAGAACCACGTGGGCCTAAGCCGTGGGGTTAGGGAGGAATTATGATCCCACAGCAAGCAGTCTCACAGTATCAGCTTCAAATCACCTTTTCATGTCATGGCATATCCTTCTGAACCCTGTAGCTTAGAAGGTTAGGTGAAACGTTCCAGCGAAATCTAACCCGTATATTTGCTTACCAGCTAAATGCACGACGAATCTGTGTGTGTTCATACTTACCTGGCCTCAAGAACAGCGTCGCTGCCAACTTACCAGTTATCTTCTAGAAAACAAGGATTTTTTCACAGATATTTCCTGCAGCTTCGTTTGCATACATCAGGGCTGGTCAGGTCAGAGACATCCAGATGTGAAGTGCTGCAGGTTTCTTAAAATGCACTCATTTGCGCACCGACTCTGTTTTGATGGAAAACACCACCGAGCCCGGAATGAACCCCTCGTTCATGATATTCCTCAACTCCATAAAAACGGTCCCGTGTTTCATGTGGAACGATTTTCGAAATATCCCAGATCTCGATAGAGATTTCACCCTGTCAGTGAAGCCAATCTATGCTAAAAAGCCTATAAGCACTGTCAGCTCTTTCTTCCTTGTGATCGGCAGCACGCACCTCAAGAAACTCAAGGAGTGGTTGAATACTCAACCGCTTGGCCACATGCAGCTGATCGATAGTGTGAGTAGCTCTCACTTAGACAGAGCATATCGCCACGCACATAATGCGGCAAGGTATTGACTGGCTGTCTGAGTGAAGGCTTCCCAAAAAAATTTTCACATATCCAGTGCAATTATCCTCCCTCTAAACTGTTTACTGATTCATGTTACTGTGAGACGATTTGGTAATGATTAATATTCAATAACAGCCGTACAGTGCTTCTCGGCTTTTCAGCATACATTAACTTCACTCACAGGACGGTGTCTCTATTGAACGACATACTACTTCTGTTTTATCATTCTTCGAAAGAGAGATTAAACCACCGTTACTTTTTTTAAACGTATGACACTACTCGCAAGGACACTGAAAACTCACGACCAGTTTCAACCTTTTTGGGTCCCATCACAGAGGCGTAGTCGCGGAGTCTCCTACAACCTTATGTCCTACTTGAACCCAAATTGTACGAAATTCGAGAATTACGCACGGTAATTCGGTCTGTGCAGGAGATTCAAATGAATCCCAGCCTAGAATAGGATATAACATCCCGTTTACTCCGAAGAGACTCAGGCTAATTTTTGTCCAACTCATTGAGTGCTGCGCTGGTTTTACATGACCGTTTCCTTCCTTCATTCACTGTCCTTTGAACTTTATGGGCTCTGGATATCTTCAACCTGAAAAAATTTATAGAAAACAATTGACGAAAATAAAATGTCCCCGAGTTCAGCTAAATCAATACGGAAATTATGTTAACTAGGGCAGGACTTGATGGGCTCAATAGTACAAATTTTAAACCATACTTATCTGATAAAAGGCTGAATTTCCACCACTCTTATTCCAGTAAGCACAAAATGCGAAAACTGTCCGCGGCAACAGGTTACGGTGAGAAAAGCATATGCGACCGTGATGCGGGCCATCATAAACGATAGTTCCAGCTTGATTCAGTCGGGCCTGCTATAAAAACCAAATTAATGTGCAAGTGAGAGTATCTGCAAAACTGCGTACTGTTTCAGTCTTACGACAGTGGGGTGGTTCAAGTTCGAGTTGACTGGGATTTCCGCCGAATTAATGATACTTTTCGTAACACATTTAAAACCAACTACATCATGCACTTGGCGAGGATCCTGATTCCTAGATATTCTGAATATCCTTTGGTATTTATCAAACTTTACAGGGCTGAAAGTGGCATGCGTCAATTGTGCCAGTGCAGATAGCATTTGTTTTTCTCCTCATGTTTCCGAGATCGTCTCACACGAAATAAATGTTACCGACCCAGCTACCTATCAGACATTCAAATATATTGAACACACAAACGACAGATTCAATGGCGTCTCCCGTGATATGCAACTACGTATGTTTGTCCAATTTGGGTTCAAGTAGAACAAAAGGTTACCAGAAACTCGGAGACTGTGCCTACATGATGAGCTCCAAAAATGGCGAAGGTGGTCGTGGGCAGTTGAGAGGTTTTCAGCAACCTCGTGAGTAGTTTATTCCAGGAAAATATTGATCATTGTTTTTGATAACGACATTTATTTGATTTCCCGTTTCCCTTTCGGTCACTTGCATCTCCGTCACTTCTAGAGTGAAAAAGAAATTGAGTCTGTTTTTAAGAGTTTCACACCCTTGTGGCCAATCCAATTCCTGCACTATTTTGTTTTCCACTTTGTGAAGGGTTACTTTCAACTGTACCGAGGTGACGACACATGTGGAATCAACCAAATGGTTTCGTCTGCAATAATAGGCTGGTGGTAGCCTTCACAGCCAAGACGTTTGCAGCAAAATTATAACTCTCTTTCGTATACTCATATACAAATAAACAGCAATCGATAACAATCTGTTCCTTTCTCATTGTCGGAACTCAAATTAACAGTGGAATAGTTTAGCACCACGAGAAAAAATCTCCGCAAATTATGACAAGTTGCATTTCATTTGGGTGCAGTGAAATTCCATTTCGATAACTTTTTGACACACGCAATACTGGAAGGATAACTCATACATCACTCAATTCTGTAACATCTTGGGGTCAGTCGACATGGAAAGTGGTTGCTGAGCGGATACAGTAAAAACATGACCACGAAAGTGATCATGCGTTTTCGGAAATCCATCCTTTTTATGCATGATCACGTGTGGTGCCCTCTCACGTTTGTTCGCGTTCATCGCCACATGTTCGTTGCGGAAACTGAAACGCTATAAACGTACGAGGACGCGCGACTGCCTCTGTAGGACCCCTTGAAATATTTCATGTGCTTTTTGGACGAAATTTAATGATAAAATTCTAAGATGATCTGCATCGATAATGATAGCCGTTTTTCAACATGTGCTTGAATGCCTTTAGAGAATTTCTTCCCAAGTTCGTTGCAGGAGTTGGTAACATTTGAAATCCCCTACTGAAATAATAGGACATCCCAGTTGCACTTATAAATCGTCCAAAATCAAGCCGTACATACATTACATACAAGTCCAAGAAATGCCCTCAGAAAATGACATGTTGATTCCGCCATTTCCGGAGCTAGAAAACTAGTCTTTCCTCGACTGGAACGAAACATCTGATAAGAATATGCTAGGCTGCATAAGGGATTCGCTCTGTTTTATGCGGCCAAAAACGTCATGAATGAATGGCCTCGAATGTAAAATAAAAGGGAGCGAGATATTCTTCCATCGATCTCTCTTGATTTCCTCGTTCTCGATTTTAAATAAAATTTGGAACATACTCAGTCCACCTCAAGTAGCAGCAAATTAAACGGATGAAATTGCCCTACATGTTGAATCTGGTAATCTATATTGTCCTCATCATCGTCATCACCCCTTCTTAGAAATGACGAGGTCTGATACCAACTGGTCAAGGTTAACCAAAACAATTTATGGTTGCAAGGCAGCGAAACATCAGTGTTGAGCGCTGAAGGTCTGATACGGTCAAGGTTAACCAAAACAATTTATGGTTGCAAGGCAGCGAAACATCAGTGTTGAGCGCTGACGTTGTACTGTCATTACGACACGATAAACTATTAGTAATCACAAAACACTAAAAAGGCTTCGGTGCATGATCTGTGTTGGAAGCTCAATTTGGGGGCTCACAGCCCAAGAGTATTGGGATCCTGAAGTCTGGTACTGTTTTCGGAAAAAAAGGCATACACTAAGACAAGTGTAAACCACAAATAAGGCAACCCGGCAAAACAGTTGTACACACCGTTTGTACACAACAGCAAAACAACATAAAACCATTCTGGGTACCTCACAGCCGGAGGAAGTATCGACTCACTATGGTTATACAGCCGTTTGTAACGCAGGCGTTAAAAGAGTGCGACTACCAGTCTAATAAGAGTTCTTCCAAAAACCACCGGTTGGTGTGGAGCTATGAGCTAGGTGGGAAGGCAAGAAGAAGGACCAGTCTAAAAAACCCCTCCGTGAGGATTAATCATCCATCTCGAACCATCTGCTCCCCGGTGACGGTGTTAACTCTAATGCTGTGAATCAAATATAAGGAGTATCTTGAAGCTTGAACGTGCGATTGTGTTATTGGCCATTGTTGCTACTGCAGTAACCGAGCATTGACAGCAACTCTCCATTTCTGGTCAGTATACGCAT